TTACCTAAAGCAATCAGGCAACAGAAAAAAAAATCAAAGAATACATGTAGGAAAGAAAGAAGTCAGATTACCATAATTTGCAGACACATGATCATCTGCATAAAAGACCCAAAATATTCCACCAAAAGACTTCCAGAATTAATGATCAAACTCAGTAATGTATCAGGATACAAATCAACACTTGAAAATCAATAGCATTACTGTACATCAAAATGAAATCACTGAGAACAAAATTAGCAAAGCAATACCATTCACAAAAACATCAAGAAAAATTAAATACTTATGAATAAATCAACAGAATACAAGTATTCCTTGTTTAATGACCTATGTGATTAATAACTTCTCAGATTTATAATCTGCTGTTCAGAATTTTGGGGGTCAGCTCTGTACATCTTGTTTATTGAGTCTCAGTGTCTTTGGTAGAGTATACTTTGTTTACACTGTCTGTAATTTTTGCTGATTGTACTACATGGAACAATCCATACTGTAATTTTATGTTTTGTTATACTTTGCAGTGCATTAAAGTTATGTAAATAAATACAAAGTCATCAACTTGAAGTTTACTTGGACCATTTCTTTGTTTTGAATATAGTACATAATACTTCAAACTCCTCATTTAGTGACCAATTCATTTAATGACCTAGTTGTAGGAATAGAACCTGATCATTAAATGAAGAATGTCTATAATTCAAAAAGATCTCCAGAATTGAAAAACATAATGAATTTTGAAGTGGAAAGACTGATTGAAGGACTGTTACTTAGGTAAAATAGGTTAAATATAACCCTAACAAGGACACTTCTTCACAAAATTTTAGAATACTCACAATACAGAGAAGACCCAAAACCTCCAGAAAAACAAATGATTCCATAAAAAAAAAAAATCAAGAGACTCTGTATCTCGCAACAGCCATACTGGGAGTAGAAGTCAATCTATATCCACCTCTTAATGTGAAGAAAATTGCCAGTCTAACATCCCATATGCTACCAAAATATAGCTTGAGTATAACAATGAGAGCACATTCAGACACTAAAAGCTCCTAAAAATTAACTTGTGTATTTTTCCTTAAAAATCTGTGGGAGGATGTGACCCACCAAATCAAGAGGTAAGCCAAGAAAGAGGAGACACTGAATACAGTGATAAAGGGGAAAAGAGACAAAGCAGGAGAGAGAAAATGAAGACCTCAAGTACTGGAGAAGAAACAGCCCAAATAATGGCTGTGCACCAGGATTAGGGATGACGTGTTCATGTGGGATCAGTGAGAAGGCATTTAAAGAAACTGTCTAGGCAGACAAAACGTATAAAATATATATGTGTTTGAATAGGTGATGCATTTTGAGAGATTTAGATAAGCAACCAAGAATCTGAGTTTGAATTAATGATAATTAGAAAACTAGGCAAGCAAGCAAACTAAAAGATAATTATTAACTCTCAAAAAAAAATATTTTGCAGGAAAAGAAAACAATCATTGTTTGTTATACACCTTAGATCCAAGTAGTATTTTCATTGTTTGACTACTATAGAGGCTGAGTAACCACTGACTTTTTCTAGTGAACAATTCGGCTGTGGAAAGGGAAAGGAAAATGCCAAGGTTAGAAAACATAATTTTCCAAAGTACAGGGACATATTGATGAGTATGAATTCTTGGATCAGAATTGAGCTGACTCCTAATTACTGCAGAAAGAAGTGAACTGCAGGGATTTTCAGCGGCATGTCAGGGTATGTCTGTATTAGACGCAGGCTTCTCAACTGTGGCTTCTCATAGTTCCTAGGTTTCAATAGGTCTGGGATCCCTGAGTTGTCCTAGGAAAGGAGCACCCTTTTTGCCTTAGTTACTTTTCTATTGTTGCAGAGACAAAACATCCAATGCCCAAAATTCAGGGAGGAAAGGTTTATTTAACACACGGTTTATGGAGGTTTCAGTCCATAATCAGTTGGCTCCTAGGCAGAGTGGTGTGGCAGAGGAGCAACAGTTCAAGTGGGAAGACAGCAAAAGCAACAAGAGCAAGAAGGGGAGAGCAAGCCTCTTTTCCTCCCTTATATTATAAACAGGCCACCCAACCTATGGCAAGTGTAGCACTCACACCATCTCAGGGCCCTCCTCTTGAACAGGCTCAGAATGTTTACAAAATGAGAACCTGGGCCCTGCTGAACCACTCGTTAAACTTCTAAAATTCTCAAGTTGACACAATGAATCAACCATTACAATGTCTTAGGGCGTTAACAGCCACCCTAGGGCATGTCCTCTACATGCTGGGATGTAGAACTGCTGAGTCACTGGGTTGACACAGTGTATTGACCATAACACTCCTAAAGGCTGAGATTGCTTTTTCTCTAAGAGGTGGGGCAGATATTGCCAGTTGAAAAGAAATGAATATGTGACACTTTACATACCTATGTTGGCAGCTATAAATTCATATCCACAATAGGAGAGAATGTAGTTGGAGATAGTTATGTTGTCTGTTTGGAAGTTGTCAAATACATGTGAACAAATGAAATTACCCTATATTGGAGACCCCTCTACATAAGCCCATGTGAGAAGTAATTTTAGTAGTTAACGATTATTTAAAATACTGTTATCAACACTATGAGATTTGTTAAGTGACATAAAGGATATTACTTTTGCCTGTAGTGACTGATTCTGAAGATCGATCATTAGAAATGTATGAGCACCATCATTCCTGTGTGAGAGGCACTAATATGTGGCTAGTCCAGCTTGCTAAAGCCAGAAGGTCAGTTTTCAGAGTTCAGAGCTCTACTGCCTTCTTTGTCACCTGTTCTGAACAGAGGTTAGATAGTGCTGGCATGAACACATCATTATATCTGCTTTTGAAACAGAAGAGAAAGTTACTGGTCTTGACAGTCAGCCATGTAAGCTTGACAATAAATATTACTTGTTTGGAAGAATTTGGTCCAAATTTTGCTTTCATTGGTAAAGCATCACTTGTGAATGGCAGATGGATGTGAAGATTTTAGACCTCATGTAGCTCCAAACGGGAGAGGTCACAAAAGAACTTGAGGTTCAGCAAATGGCCAAATATGTACATGTTTCATTGCCTGAATTCTTCCTAAATCCTGGTTCTAACTTTGTCCTAGTCCCAGAACACCATTGCTAAGCATTTCCTTCCACCTAGAGAGTCTCATCTTTCACAAGGCTGGAGAGTGGGATTGGGAACACTGTGGCCTCAGGAAAGTACCAAAAAGACTTTGCTGGCAGTTTTGGCTAGATTTGGGCATTATTTTAGTGGCCAAATGGTTACCCTCTCTAATGATTGAATTTCCCTTTGTGATGCCTCACCCTTCAAATTCAGTTTTCTAGAAACTGTCTGGCTTCCTTGAACCTTGAATTTTGGCTATAACTTCTCCTGTTAATATCATTTCTACAGATCTTGACCACTGAACTGCTTTATAGCAATCTTTGAGGGACTTGGAGCCAAGACCCTAAAGTTCCAGTCACCAGGCCAGCTCAGATCTTAACAGAAAGCTTTCCTTATGCTAACTAGGTACCTGCATTTCTGGCTATTTCCTGGAACTGAGCCCTATTAGATCTTCAATCTAATAGGATTTGAGGATTAAATGAGTTAATATATGAATCTTTAGGGTAAATCATAAGCATTATATTTATTGTTCAATTTCTTTTTGACTTAACTTTTTGGGAAATTAAAAAGAAAACTTTCACTGGCTCAGCAATGAAACCAAAAGAGTATGAACTACAACCTCTAACGGAAAGTAACAAGGATATGGAACACTCTGGCACATGGTGAGTATTGTTTTTATTAGGTGACTTATTCTAAAGCTATGTCTGTTTTAATGAAGTTATTACTATCAAGATTTCAGAAGTATGACTCCTAAGAAATTATGCAACTTATGGGTGTATGAGAGAAGTGTTTCAGAGAGGGAAAGCTGGATGGATGTATGGAGAAGTGAGGGTCTGGTACACTTGACTTCAGGGCCAGGTTCCATTGAACCTCTGTAATTGCACCAATAATAGCAATATATGATGAAGTATGGTAAAGGTTAGGACCTTTAATAACTAAAATTGGGTTGTACCAGCCAAGGATGTAGCAGTTAAACTTCACTTCCGTAGTCCAGTTTCTTTGAGGGAAGTCCAAGGTTTGATCTCACAGGGACACATAAACCTATTAGGAATTTTGAACAGATTTTCATGCCCCTTCCACAGCTTGAAATCTCCAAATCCTGCTAAGTTTTAACCTTGTCATATATATTTTTCTAATCCAATGAAAATATATCTTTATCACAAAGAGAAAGTGTTCAAAAGGCAATGTTCAAGGATCTGAGAGCTGGGCAGTCTACAGCCACATCATAGGTTCCCAAAGCACAGGTTTCCATGAGAGCTGCACTTTTCAGAGGGTTGAGAAGAGGTGAGACACTAGGAACTGAATCTGAGAAATGCTGAGGATCAATGTGATCGGTTCCTTCTACTCCAAGGTCACCCCATCCTTAAGGCTGCTCTAGCCTAAGATGCCACAGTACACATTTCTTATGGCCTGGTGTCTTACAGATTACAATGCCTCTTTGCTGTGTGCGATCCAACATACCAGACACTCGCCAAATGTGGCTACTTAAAGTAAACTAATTGAAATTAAATGCAATCTCAAATTTAGTTCTTTAGTCACACTGGCCACTATACTGGAGAACAGAGACAGAACACTGATTTAAATTCAGGAATTAAGGCAATAGATAAGGACATTGCAGCTATCTGAAGTAAGTCAAAAGTGTCAGACCTGTGGAGAGATCAGCCAGGTAAGGCCACTTATCCTCAGTCCCTTCAACCACTGAACATGGCAGCACCCACAGCTACCATATCTAAACACACACACACACACACACACACACACACACACACACACACACACCTATCTAAATACACACACACGCGTGTGTGTATGTGTGTGTGTGCATATAAAACAAAAACACAGTATGCCTTATGGAAATTCTATACCATTTTTTAAAACAGCAATCATGTTACTGAAAGTCTCTCTTTTGGAGGATGTTATTTATTGTAAGACATCATTTTTATTAAATACACTGTAGTACAAGAGACTTTCCATGTCAGGTTGAGAGAAGCTGGTCACATGGTTTACAAACAGAACTTTTTAAACACTGTATTCAGGTTTCACTTTGAAATCAGCCAAGATGCAGTGGGTCTTAGTAAAGCAATTGACTTCAAAACAGATTGCAAAACAAGAACTGTTAAGTATCGGTACAGAGACAGCACATTAAAAGGAAAAGAAACCAAATGAGAAGAGAGACAGAGTTCCAAATACCAGGTCACCATTGAAAGGGACATAGATCTGCAGAGAGATGTTGACGTGAGTGTGTCTGTGGCCTGGATATATACAAACATCTCTCCAGATACAGAAGCAAATGCAGTGTCCACACCTCTAGGCAGATTTGTAAATAACAGAAAGGATCAAGGGGCTGCGAGGAGCAGTATTTCACCATGATTTGGTCATTTGTCAAGGGATTACATATTGAAAATCCACACTGAATTCAAAGGCCTTGTGTTTAGAACATTTCCAGCTGTTTTATACACGTAAAAAGCAACGGTAAGATGTACAAGCTGTGAGATATAGAGGCCTTTACGTTTCACTTTCTCCAATTTCTCTCCTTGTTCAAACACATAGCTACTAGTAGGTTTTTCTTTTCTCTAGTATGTTGAATATTCAGCCAACTTTCACTCAAGATCGTTTTTATTAATGCATAGACCAAATAAATAAATAAACAGACCTGGCCTAGAACGCACAGACTGAAAGTCAGCATTGCCCTCTTCTCCCATTTCGTCACCTGAGACATGTGTTAGGATGGCAGAGTAGTTGCTTGGTTGTGATTGTGAGATTCACAGTGTTTTGCCTGCAACACGTATACATAAATTCCTTTCTTTCTTTCTTTCTTCTTTCTCTTTTTCCTTTGCTTTTGTTTGTGATGAATGGAACAAGTGTTTGAATGAATAAATAAATACATAGTTAAATAAATAGAAGTCAGTGAAAAAGAGAGGAACAGAATAGACTAAATATGTTCAAGAACCTTTGACTTGAGCAGCAGTGATTCACTCCAGATAACAAGAACATACCCTTTCCCGCACTATTAACTTTAACTATAATCCCCCTGCCTCCAGTTCTTTAGAATAGCATTTGAAATTCATTTACAAATTATCACAACCTGAGTCTCTGAATCCCAATTACACATTGTGAGGAGTTTTCATTACTGTGAGTTTAGATATTCAGGGAGCTGGGTTACCAGCCGTTCCTCTCATGAGAGTTCAGTGAAAGGGTTATAGGGCCAAATTGAAGGTCCATACTGGAAATAAAGTCCTCAAATAGGGAAGGAAAAGTAATGGGGGATTAAAAGAATCAAGGGAATCTGTGTAATGCAGCAATTTAAAAAACTAGACACAATTTAACGTTGTTGGTATTATAAGCCATCCAATTTGCAAAAAGAAAGGTTAAAAAATGTCCACTGTTGACCAGGGAATCCTCTTGTCATGAGGTTTTTTTGAATACAGTACTTTATACCACTGATTGGTTCATTTGAACGTGGATGTGAACATTTTCAAGACTTGCTTTTCTCATGTATCATTTAGATTTCTTCTTATTTACCTCCAAGATTAAAATTTGTATCTGGAATACTTCAACACTGGGCACAAGTTTAAAGGGTCATAGTGGGACAAGATGAACATAATACAAATGTGTAAAGGACCAAGAAATTGATTTTCCTTTCCTGGAGCTTTAAACATGTAGCTCTATTTCGGTCTGCATCCCCTTCCCCAGGAGCCACAGGAGGGATGCCCAGGGGATGGCTTTTCTTCGGCTGTTTTGGGAAGCACATTATCTTACGTGCATCTTCTGTCCTTGCAGTGCTGCACAGAGTGGAAAAGTGCTATGTTCTACCCACATGGAGAATGGAAGCTCTAACTGCAATGGGACATCAATGAATTTTGGTTATTTAGCAGTTTTAAGCAAATTATTAATACTGCACCCTACTTATAATTATCTCTATGAGCATTTGCCTATATATTTATACATAAACACACACATTATGTATGTATGTGCATTTGTATATGTATAAAGTATATAACACGTATATAAATACATGAAAATACCATAGGTAGTGCTGATGTGAACACACGTATAATATGAATTCTGATATAATCCTTGATAGCATAGTTCAAAGTGTTTTCTAAATAAGCCCAATTAGGACACCAATTCAGTGTACAAGGATGTAGCAGAAGCTGAGAGCATGATTATATATCACAATATCTCTGTAGCTTGCCATTTTATGTATTGCCTTACATTGTTCTCCCGTCCTATCCGGCTTCATGGATTAGTTACTATACATTTTTTCCTGAACTGCTTGTTTGTATATCAGTGTCTTGAGTGCACTTATGTAACTGGAGTACATGGATGGAGTGCACTGGTGCCAGAAGCCAGGCTGGAGACTTCTGGCCTGCCTCTGAGTCTCTGAGCCTCAGTTTCCTCGCCTATGAAACATGAGAATAATTTGTAAACACATTGGGAAGGCATTTCAAAAACAGAACCAATCATAAGTGGAAGTGGATGACAGACTGGACTTAAGAGATTAGCTTTGTCACTGCTATTGTTGTGATTTTTAAGTTGTTTGATGACAGGTCATCCTTGGTGATTGTCATATGTAGAATGAAGATGCTTCTTTGCTAAGATTTAGGAAACCATGGACAAAGAGGTGGTCAAAGGACAGCAACTAGTGTTTCAAAATATTCTGTGACTCATCCAACTCTTAAAAGCAAGCCAATGTCTTTTCAGAGTGTGACATCTCTAAGGTCAGCATATACCCTTGAGACAAGATAGGTACTAACAATGATGGTAGTAATAACAATCAATATAAATAACTATAAAACTTTGCACTTGCATAGTACCTTTCATTTCAAGACCTTGAGGGACTTGTCAAAAGGTATAAGGAAAAATTTTTATTTTCATTTTTTGCTTTTTTCTTTCTGACGAAAACACACAACTGGAATGGAACACTCCAATTTTCTGATCTGCTTTCAACAAATCTTTGCCCTGAAACTGCACTACCCTCCTTAAACTAGATGATCCTTTTAAGTATTATCACCTTTGTTCTCAGTTAAAATAAAAAATGACTGGCTACTTTTTCTCACAGAGCAGCTGGCCAAACACATAAATCTGTGTATGTTTTCAGGTTACCTGTGAAGAAACCTAGAAGAGCTTGTACACATCTTCCCATACCTACTGTTTCATAGAGCTCCACAGTGTTGTAACAGTACCATGGGTCCTCAATATGATATACACGTGCATGCATATATCATGGAGATATGGCTTTCATTATATTATTATGTGTGTTCTGGAGGGGCTTTTTTCACTGGCAAAGAGAACAAATACCTCAACTCCCATCTCTTCTGGGCCAGTGCAGAGTCCAAAGGGACTGCGTAGTTTGTCTTATCCAACCCCTTCTTTTGGCCACAGAGGCTGTTGGATTTCAGTTTGTTCTCTGCTAATTTATATTTTTGAATTTTTATACTGACTTTAAAAGCTTAGAAAGAAAAAAAAAAGTGCTCCTATAACTAGTGGGCATAAGCAAAACCTAAATGGAGCTCTTGCACCTTCAGAAACAAATAGTAAATAAAATAACTTACAATGGATTGAGATCACTCTTCCAATCTGGCTCACACTATAAAGAAATCAGGGCCAGTGAAATTCCCCTCACAGAGGGTAGCACATTCTCTTTAGGAGCGGAAACACTTTTCCCCTTGCTATGAGTGACTCTCTAAATAACTGTAAATTTCTATTCAAATTTATGACCTTTTCTCAAGACCAGCAACCATGCCCAGCAGCGCACCTCCAATGTTTGGTCTGGGCACAACCTCCCGTGGCATCTTGTGCCTATTTTCCAGTTTTCTTTTTTCTTTTGTTTAATGATGTGAAAGGAAAAAAAAAAAGCGGGAAACACTTGGAATGAAACCACTCTCCCAACTAGAGCCTACAGCAAAAGCCTTGGCCTGTGTACACTGAACATAGATGCATGTGATATGCCCAGTGAGATTTCCCTTCCCTTGGGGATGGGTTCTGCCTGTCCCAGAGTCCTTGGGCTCCATATGAATGAAGATATCCAGGGTTTGGGGTCCATATTGGGTAAAACCCATCACCATCAACTGTACCATGCCAAGGCATTTATTCTCAGCTAATGAATGCCATTAGCAGTCATACAAATTGTACCTCTTATGGATCTGCTCTACCTATCAGGGTCACGACGTCTGGAGTTTTAGTTTTTGCACACAGGGTATTCATTGACGAAGACCATGCACAGTTTTGCTTGCACAGTTAAAAGGACAGGTAGGAATGGATACTAGGAGTCAGAGGTGACACTTGCTGTCTGAAAAGTTCAAGATAAGAGAAACTTGGCTCCAAATGGAGAGCTTGTCCTATTTTTCCAAGTCCTGGATTTCGCATCTGATCCTGAAATGATCAGATGGAATCTGCCTCTTCTCAACTGGACTTGGCAAAAGCTTGGTCCACAATACTTGAAAAAGACCCCAGTGCTGTCACCATGACAACCAAGACAAGACTGGCTGAGCACAGAATGCACTGTCCTGTGCCTCAAGAAGTCATGTTTTATCTCTGCTTCATGTGAGTGTGTCTGGAGATGGAGAGGAAAAGTCCACAGCACAGAGTCCGCCGGTCTGTGCTTGCAGCAGGCCTTGGGGAAAAGGTGCAGGACGCATTCCTCCAGCTGACGGTCGCGCCAGGTTTGTCCTAAGTGGGGACAGATGCCAGCTGATCCCAATGGTTGCCTTTGTTTCTCCCGTTTCTCCTGAAGTTTATAATAAATCTTTCCTTCTCTGGTTTAATCTCCCACAGATAAAGTTTTCCCAGATTGAGCGCACGTCTTCCTTAAGCCACACAAGCTTAAGCCACCCAAAAACAATAAGAAGAGCCATAATAAATAAATAGATAGATAAATAAATAAATAGAAATGAATCCGTACAAACTCTTGATGTCTGTACAGCAGAATTGACGAAGTTTAAGTCAAATATTTGTTTCCCTTTTTTCATCCACGTCAAAGGCAGGAATACAACAAGGCATTGTTAGTTGTGGTGGGCAAACTGGAGCGTCTGCTGATAAAAAAAATCAGGTTTGTTAAGGCCTTTGTCTATGCAGAGTTAATAGTAATGCAGAAGCCAGATCGATTGAAAAGGAGGAAGGACTGTGAAGCAGGAGAACAAAACCAAACAAACAGAAAAGGAAAAGTAGAAAAGGAAAAGAAAGGAACAGACCAAGGAGCCGGGAAGAAAGAGACAATGCTCGAAAAAAGTCAGGACTGCATCCCTTGGTGGGGTCCGCACTGCTGCAGTCTGAGGGCTTTGCGGGTTTTCTCGATCGCCAGAGCTGCCTGTCCACGCAGCAGCCTGCTGCAGCCAGTGGCAGTAAAAGGGTTCGTCCTCTCCTCTCGCCCCTCTGAGGAGTGCGTTGGGAAGGACAGGTGTGGGGAGAGGGCCTAGCCGAGAATGTCCAGGTAGACCGGGGACGCCTTGGCCAAGTTCTGAAGCAGGGTGTGGATGCCCTTGATGCTCTTCCTCATGTGGGGCTCTCGCTGCCAGCACCCCAGCATCAGCTCATACACCTCCTGCGGGCACGTGCGAGGTCGCTGCAGGACTCGGCCCTGCGTGATGCACTCGATCACCTAGGAGAGCAAAGAAGAGTCAGCCAGGAAGGCCAGCGGGGAGCCAGGGAGTGGCCGGAGCAGGGGAGCGGGGGGGGGGGGGGGGGGGGGGGTTTCTCGTTCATCCTTTATTTTTCCTTTTAAAACTGCCTATACTAAGTGTACGCATTTGTGGGGAAGGGCGGGATAACTGGACACATATACTCCATGGTAGTAATCAAGTCAAATCCATCTACCTCAGTACTTATCATTACTTTGTGTTGGAGCCTTCCAACAGCCCTTATCTGGTTGCTCATGAAGTTACACCCTTCATATGAATGACTCAGCATTATTCCACTGAGCCTTTCTGTGGACTCCTCCTTGGGGACAGTTGGTTGCCTGTAAACCGATGGTTCCCTATGTGGAATATGTAACTGTTGTGAACTGTATTCACCCTGCCGTGCTGTGGGGAGCCCTGAGACACTTCCTGTGTGACTGCGCTGTGGTCCCTGTCACCCACTGCTATCTGTCCCCTTCCCTGATGTAGGAAAGTAGGCTTTTGACTGTGTGTGTGTGTGCGCGCGCGTGTATGTGTGTGTACTGGGAATTGAACTCATGACTGTGCACTTGCCAGGTAGGTGCTGTGCCACAGGCTCTTGAAAAAGAAGTCCACTCACTGTTTATCTCTTAGAGGATGAAAATGATTATTGTGGGCTGGTTTATGTCATGGTTACTTTGGTTTATATTCATTTCTCAATCCACTCTGATGTCACAAAACTGGTGTGGAGAAATAATTTCTTCACGCACAGTGCCCCTATACCTCAGCAGTCCCATGGATTAGTTTTCACCAGCCTGAGTCACGTGTGTTAGGGTACTGACTAGCAGGGAACCGCAGGCCACAGAAATGAGCAGGCATTTCTCATAATGGCTTTGGATTAAAAAGGCAGACACAAATCTGAAAAAGATGTGAGATGCCTATCCAAGAGACTGCCTCAAATATAAATATTCAGTCAGCCCCCTGTACCTGTGGGTGCCACATCTGTGGATTCAACCACCTGCAGATCAAGAATACTCAGAAAATAACTGCTCCCATACTGATCATATACAGACTTTTTTGGGGTCATTATTTCTTAATATAGTGCACTATTTATGTTACATTTGTATTAGCTATTATAAGTAACCTGGAAACATTTTAAAGTAGACAGGAAGGTGTGCATAGATTATATGCAGATACTGTACCATGCTCTATAAGAGATTTGAACATTTTACATTTTGGTGTGTGTGTGGGGGGGGGGTCCTGAAAACATTCCCCCATGGATCCCATGGTATACTCATATTTTGCAAAAGAATGGAAGAACACACAGTACTTGAGTTTTTCACTGGTAATGTTCTAGAGAAAGGTATAGAAAGGAAAGAGTTTTGAAAGGTCATTGGAATTCTAAGAGTGCTGGCCTTCTCTGTGTGCTCAGATTTATTAGACTAACAGTGCAAAAAATTCTTAGGTACCATCTTTAGAAAAGCAAGGCTTTTCTACACTGGATTTTCCTTCCTCCAAAACACTTTTAAATTAGTAGTGACTACACTTCAGCCATGAGCTTCAGGTATACAGTAGGCTCCCAGGCATACAGAGCATGATTGGCGATGTAAGTATTCTTGGGCCATCAGCAAAAGATTGCACCCTGATCAGCCCAGAAAAGGTGCTCAACAGGGAGAGGCCTTTGGGTTTCAGGCTGGGCTCCGAGCTCTTCCCCACATCCACTGGGTACCTCATTGTTGGATAGTTGGTACCAAGGCTGCTTGCCATAGGTGAAGATCTCCCACAACACAACACCCAGGCTCCAGACATCACTCTCCGTGGTGAACTTCCGGTACATGATGCTTTCTGGGGGCATCCAGCGAATGGGCAGCATCGTGTGGCCACCAACCTGGCAGGAAAGCGATGAGAGGGACATTGGTCACTTTGAAAGCAGCATGGAAATGGGCTAGGGGGTGTTCTTTCCCTATTGTGTTTATTAATTTTAATTGTGTATAAACATGTAAGGAGTGTATGATTTCCTCACTATCTCAAGCATCAGAGACAGAAGGTGAATGATCAAAACAAATCATCCCCGTATTATTTGGAATTCTCATTCTCTCAGACCATGAAGAGAGACTATGCTTACACAGATGCTCATCTTGCATGGACACACACACACACATGTACACATACACACACATGCACACATACACACACACACACACACACACACATACACATGCACCTCCTGGTAGGAGCATGGCTCAGTGTTGCAGTTAGCAAGGTAGCTAGCTTTGGTCAGAATAACAGTCAGGGGTTCTAGATCCCAAATGGTCTGCATGATTTCTGCTCCCTGGTCCAGCCCTGAGCTGCCCTCTGCCTTCAGGTACAATGTGTGTGCAGTGCTGGCTAAGATACCTTCACACCTGCAACAGCTGACATGGAAGGTTATTCCCATTTATAAAATGGGCCACTGACGTGCAAGCTGCTTTTGAACACAAAGAACTTGGGTCTTTGGATGCCAAGTTCAGGACTCTCCCTTACTCCTTAGCTATTTACAGTAATAAATACATACATTTCTAGAAACACTATTTTAATGGAAATGCTAGGGGGGAGGGGTTACCTGACAAGAGCAATAGCACAGCAAAGAGAAATGAGTTGGTTGAAGAATTGTTTGTACTTTCTCTCCTCATGTTTGGGGCGTGGCACGTCAGGGTTGCCTGATTCCTGCATGGTAGCCTATGGCCTTAAGGTCCCACTCCGCGTCCTAACACTGCCCAGCACTGCCGGTTGTAGGACACTCCGAACATGACAGTAGGGAGGCTTATGCTAGGGCAGGAGTCAGACTCAGTTATCGCACTCACCTTGTTCCACTAGGGTGCTAAGACTCAGGGTGCCTAGAGATTCTGCCCAGCTCTAATTCTCAGTGTCCATTCATGACTTACAGGAAGAAAACTAACTACCCTATGGAAAAAATGTTCCTTCACCTCAGAGTCCAAGAGGCTGAGTCCAGACATGTCCAGTATACTCCGTATTTTCAAAGAACGCCCTTGGCACTGTGGAAAGTGCACCAGTGTGAAAGGAGTTTTTCCCTGTTTTTCTCTGTGAACAAGTCCAAATGACAAGGAGATGCAGCTTGCTGGCTAAGGGTTAGGGTGCCCCACAGCTTTGCTAATCAACTTTTTTTTAAAGAGAAAAAAAAACACAGAAAAGAAAAAACAAAAAGCAAAAGATGCAAACAACAACAACAAACCTAAAATAATAACAGTATAGGTTTTCAAAACAAGATGACATCAATTTAACAACGGTTGTAATATTTGATATTGTTACTTTCAATTGAGTTTCTTAGATTACCAGTATAGACATGAAAAACTGCTTTAATCATGTGTATTAACTGTTCTTTTCCAATAACTAATACAATTAGTAGTATAGTCATCTTAGCTATATATATATATATATATATATATATATATATATATACACACAAATTTATGTCTTTTTCATTTTCCCTTTCTTCTTTTCTCCTTTCCCCTACCTCAGTTACTTTTCCTATTTGAGCAGTTTCTTACCCTTACACATTATTTATTATAGATTTTAGATTGTATTTGCTCTTCCACTTTCTTGCACTAGGGAGACAATATGGCATTTACACACATGAGTTTGATGTATTTCTCTTATGAGTGTGGTCTCAAGTCATGCCCACTTACTTATAAAAGCCTCAATGCAATCTTTCTTTATAGTTGAGTAGTATTCCATTGTATAAAAATACCACATCTTTTTATTTATCAGTCAAGGAATGGATTAAAAAACATGGCTAATCAACTTTCAATGAGCCCAACTCTCATAAAGGCCAAGATGGCTTCAACATTAGATTCCTTGCTCTTAACATTAGATTCCTTGGCAATGACAGGGATTCAGTGTTCAAGGAGAGCACACTTTTCTCATAGACCTGTCTGAAGGTGGCGACAACACTCCCACTTGGGCTCCACATTCAAATCATGACCAGTGTGGCACTGGCACTGTATATAGGTGTCATTATGGTACAAGCACACTGGCCCTGCTCACAGCTCTGAGATCCCCAAGTTCCTGGGACTTTGGTCTGGAAAGTGCTAATACATGCAGAGGACCTAGCACTTTCAGATTCCCAGAAGGACTCAGGGTATGAGGGTAGGATGATCCCACCAAATCCTTGTGAAGGGAAGGGACTGCTCCATGGTCAGGCAGGGCCTGACTCTGCCTCCCACAGAGCCATGGACACCTTCCCTCTGCCAGAAAAGGCTGGGAAGTGTGGCACATTCACCTTCACAAACCCCTGGACTCCTTGCCATTCTCTGAAACCATACCAAGCTCTCTCTCCATGGATCCATCTAGTCTCACAAATATACTTGTGCTTTATGGTGGAATCTCTAGTCCACAGATGATGAAATTTCTCCCAGGTGTTATGAGACTTTGCTTAAGGTCACATGTCTGACACATTGTATAGCTAAGACTGAGATCTAGATATTCCTACAGATCCTTTTCATCCCTTATGTAGGCCAAAACCATGGGACTGCTATTTTATTGCTATGCACACACAAGGACAGAACAAAATCAGCAGAAAATAATGCTCCCTTCCCCTGCAGACTTTATTCTTATCTTGCCTGTCCTAACCTTTTTCTTTCCTTATAGTGAAGAGCTCTTATCATGTCACCCATCCCTTCAGGCTGCACCAGAGCAGCTAAGCAGGTGCGCCTTTCTTCATCCACGTTTGGTCTCATCAGAGGAAATAGGGTCGATATGGCCTAGAGAAGTGGAGGTGAAGTGCAGACTGTGGCTTCATCTTCTGGTGCTCAGTTGTGTTATTTAAGCACCTGTGAAAAGGGAGTTCCTTGGACAACAAGTGGAAGTCTCTGGTAATTTTAAGTGCTAAACCTTCTGAAAAAGGTTTAGCACTTAAGGGAGGAAGGAATGAATTGCTTTTGGAAGGAATGAATTGTTTCTTGCATAGATCCATTCAAAAAGAGCTATTTACAAGAGTAACTCAAATTTTACAGAAATTCTAAAAGATAAAAGGCTTTTAAAAGGACAGGCTTCACTACAGGTAGAGGAGGGTTTCAGCACAAAGTCAGCATGAAACTAGATTTACAGTGAAGAAGATACAACTACTTTTTTATGGAATATGGAAATTAGATTCCAGATTGTGTGATCGATACAGAGTTGATATGGGAGGGTAGACAGAGGTGGCTAGGACACTGTGACCCAAGGCAGATTCCAGTCCCTTAGGAGTGTTAACAGCTGGTTCTCCCTAAAAGGTTCTGGGCCAGGTGCATCAAACATACTGTAACCCTTCCCCTCCCCCACTTCATGATGGAAGTTTATAATGCTTATAGCTGCAATAAAGCATGCAAGGAGTTCAACAGGAAGGAATGGATTTAACTTTAACATAGTGGATTGAATCAATAAGAATATGTTTGTGCTAAAGAGGTAACTACTCATATTGGTCTCCTAGGGTCAGACAGCAAAAAAATGGGATTTGAGATGTGTTAATTTAGAGATAGCAGGCTTTCCATAGCTACTTGGGTTTCCCATACTTATTTTTTTTATTTAAAGAGAAAACAAACAAACAAACAAAAAAACAGAAAAAAGGGGTAGAAATAATATAGAATTACAGAAAAATAAACAGTAAGAAATCATTAGTTGATAAGTTACATATTTTCATCTTAGAAATAGTTGTTCAGGTTACAAAATTAAAGCATACAAAGTGACATTCAAATAGTGACACCACCAACAGTTCTTCTCAATGATCCAACAAAAACTTAGTAATATCAGTCCTACACACTTTTTTATCTTAAAGAGAGATTAAACATACCAAAACAGAACAAAACAGTTCATAAAGAAACAATTTAAAGGGCTGGGTATTTAGCTCAGTGGCATAAGCGCCTGCCTTGCAAGCAGGCAGTCGTGAGTTCGATCCCTGGTACCGATTAAAAAAAAAAAAAGAAACAATTTAAAGAAATATGGATTTCAAAGCAAGTCCACTGGAGATCTTCACTGTCTATCTTATTGTCTCCAGTTTTCTTCCAAATAGTTGTCCCCATTTTCACACACATTGAATAAATACTGCATATTATAGAACTAATCAAATCATTACAGAATGATGAAGGTTTTTTAGGTCTTCAAGACCTGACATTGGAGAAGTCAATAATGTCTACCATAATGTCTCTCATTCTCTTTATAGTAGCTGTCCTTATCTTTACATATGCTGAAATTGAACTTAAGAGACTAGACTAATATCACTCTGAACAGTGAATAATAGTATTGCTAGATTTTATATCATAATGCTACAGAATTAGCATTGGGTTTCTTAGTGTCTTTTCTTTTTCAGAGTATCTGTTCATTACATCGTGCATTATATAATCTGTTCCCGTAAATAGTTTAAAAAATTCTCCCCCACCCCCAAAAAATTCTTCCCATGTGTGAATTTCTACATGCATATCTATCCTCTCTGTATTATAGGGAAAAACAGATCATAACAAGACAACAAAACAAATTCCTAGAAAAACATGCAATGAAAAAGACACGTAAGATCACAATATTAGGTGATCTACTGTAGTTACTATGCTTTCTCTTGTTATTTTCAATAGACTTGTCCATATCATCAGGCTTAATACAATTAAGCATAGTATTACATAGCTATTTTTATAAAAACACAACTTTGAAGACATTGTAGGACTTGAAGTGGTTAATAATCAAAACCGGTATGGATATCTTTTACATCTTGTCATCTTCAGAGTAGTTGTCTCTACTCTTAGACTTGGTACTATCAAGCATACCAAATTCGAATAAAATCAGTCAAGGCAAAACCTCCATCTAACAAACCAGCTTCAAATAAGACCAGTCATAGTAAGACAATGTAAGTAATACAGGGTT